TCTCCAAAACTCCAATGCAATGCAAGCCTTAAAAAGATGGGTCCAAAATCAGAATCAACGCACGTGGACAAAAAAGTAATACCACCACGTGGAGAAGTAGAACCCACATGCAAAAGGTACAGTTAGTGACTCACACGTCACAGAAGTGCCACGTCTCCTAGCGCGGGTCGGGGGTTGGGGTTCGTTGCCTTCTAGATCATCTTCTTGTGCCCACTGTTAGTTGCATAAACGAAATGAGCAACGAACTGGAAAAGGACGGAGTGATACACAACAAAGGCTTCAAAACAGAAGAAACGGAAAATATTTTTTTGAAGGGACGAAGGAATTTTCTGGATGCTTTCTTTAATCTTTCCGTAAGTTCTTGTTCTTATGTTCTTCTTCGATTCTTTTATTTTCCTGGGTATGTAGTTTTTTTTTTCTTTTTTTTCTTTTTTTTTGGTTTAATGGGGATTTGTTAGGATTCTTTTGGTTCTGGGGAAGAGGAAAGGAAAATGTTTTAAAGTTTCCGGGGAAATTTTCAGCTCTACATGGGCTTACGTTATCTCCGAATTGTTTACCTTGTCGGGAATTAAACAGAAGAAGTTGAAAAGAAAACCAACCCAATACCCATTTCATGTGTTTTGGTTTTTTGTAGGTTCGGAGTTTAATTTGTGATTCTGGATCGGTGACACTTCCAGTTGTGAACGTGGAATTCGGGCTGTTTTATTGAATCTTTGGTGTTTTTCTTTACAGGGCTTAGTAATGGGGAAATGGGATTTTGATGGATTTGATTTTCTGTAGTATTGAAAATGGCCACCGAGGCTGATACTCATCCGAGCTTCTGCAACCAAAGCTGGTATTGCCAAGACCTATCATCAGATCACCAAAACTATGAGGTAATTTTTCGTCTTTTTCTTTTGGTTTTGTTTTTGTTTTCTTTTACAAATCATATACATGCTATTTGATTCGTTTTCATCTAAGAGCTTGTGACTCTAAGTTGGAGATCTCAAGTTCAAATCTTGATTCAGTTGGGGAAAAATATGAGAAAGGGGAGGATTATACCCTTAGATAAGAATCATAAGATACCGTTTTTTATGAGGTTTGTTTGTCTTGGAACTTCTGAATCCAAGTGGGAGATCTCATATTCAAACCGTGTCTTGGGTGGGGAAAGATATGGGAAAGGAGAGGGTTATAGTGCTATACCCATAGTTTATGGGTTTGTCTTTACATAAAACGTGACTGGTTATGTTTGGTGCATATGGTAATTGCAAACCAGTTGACTGTTAAACTGTGTGGAAGATGTTTCCCTCAGCATCTTCGCTTAATATTATTTGTTTGTTCATTTTATGTTAATAATATAAGCAGGGTGAATCTACTATTCTGGATCATGGGTCAGTTTCTTTTGGAAGATATGCTGGTGAACTTGCTTGGGAGAAATGGTCAGTCTTCACTCATAACAGATGTCAAGAAGAGCTAGAGAAGTTCAAGGCTCCAGGATTTGTTGCTCAGAAGAAGGCGTACTTCGAAGAGTATTATAAAAAGATTAGAGCCATGAAGGAATTGCAAGCACAGCAACAAGATATCGACCAACTTGGACCTTCCCAAGAAATACCTGGAAGCAGCGTATCAATAGAATATGGTGCTACTGATACTGCATTTTTAAGTAAGGAAGATGAAGAAAAAAATGTTAGTGAAAATCAGAAGCTGGAGTGTGGTAAGACCTGTGACTTGAACTCATCAAGAGGGTGCATTTCCAATAATTCACAACAAGTTGTCAAAGAGACACAAAGTCACTCCAGTGAGAGTAACAATGCTAACTTTGTGGATGGAGCATGTGTCTCTTTAAAACTTCCTCATGAAAAGGCTTCTTGTCATCATGCTTCATCAGTTGGCAAGAGGCTAAGAACTGTTCAGCAAAATGGCCTTATTCCCGGCCAAGTTGGGCAAGATATCAACAAAATGGGGAAACATGAACCTCTTCTGAAGGACAAGGTAAAGAAATAGAACCTTGCAGTTTGGTATGAGCTTTATAAAGTTAGCTCCTTGGTGAATGCATTAATGTCATCATCAAGATCCTTAAATATATCTCTAGTAATATATATTGCCTATTGCAAAGTGGCGGTAAGAATATGGCTTTTAATTTTTATGTAGTTCTTTTTATCCATCTAGGAAATCGTAAAGCTAGAACAGACTACAGAATTCTAAATTATAACTTTTTTCAGCTGACATGGACAATCTAATTATACGATGCCTTTTTTGACTTGAAGAAGAGATACTTTGAGTTTGCAACTTTGCTCTAATGTACATTGGATAGTAACGTCCTGATTTTTTATCAGTAGATAGTAATGCTCTGATACTTGGTTTTATAACTGATTTTTTCAACTAGGGAACTTTAACCCCTGCCACAAACAAAACAAAGTTGGGCAGAACTACAGAAGATGCTGTTAAGAAGTTTGGGAAGCCAAAACCATCTCCCCAAATAGGAAATTCCAGTCAGGTTGTGAAAGGTCTCCCTTCAAGGGAAGGAATTACTCAAACTCTAGCTAGCAATATCAACAGACAAACAACTGGAGCACGTTCTACTCTGCATGCTTCATCAGCACATGGTAAGCTGGTTTCATCTACCTCTAGTGTTGGAGATGTTAAAGGCAAGACAGCTTCAAATTCTCATTGCTCACGAGACAACTTAAAGACGAGGTTGCCAGTTGTTTCCAGATCTACTAAGGTAGAATGACTGGTTATTGTTCCTTCATCTTCAGTTTTCTTTTATCATCATCTGACTGGTTTATGAAATTTATAATTTCAGGTTCCTTCCATCCTTTGTTTCTTTGCTCCTTGTCTATTCCCTGACTGGTTTATGAAATTTTTATAGTTTCAGGGTATTTCAAAGGAGGTTACAGTTACTGGCAGTTTGAAAAACATGACTCTTAACATCAGGTCTGGTTTTATTCTTGAGCACCTCCCTCTCTATCCAACACACACATGCACAATGTGGTGGACACAGAAGTGATTAACTTTTATATTTTTGAGTTGCCAGGAAGAGTCTGTAATGGTAATGCTCCAGAGATACAAAACATTTCCACCACCTTATAAATAGCTAATGTATTTTTTATGCTTATATTGAATAGAATCTGATTTTTCAGCAGGTTGAAAATTACCAGGTCTAAAGACCTTCCTGACCAAGGTAAATGTAAATCAAATCAGAGCATTGGAGTTTTGGGGCACAACAATCTTGACAAAGAAGGGAAAGGGCAGAAGGTGAGCTTCAACTAGAGAAATATGGAAGAATCTTTAGGCAATCAAATTTCTTATTGCTTGGAGAAATTCAAATTTAGGATTCAAATCAGTGTACATTTCTGTACTTGGTGAATTTTGCAAGAAACGGTAGATAAATCTATAGTTCATTTCAGGTGTGGTTAATCTTGGGAACTTGCACAAATTTGAAGAACTTTATGTTGCTCTAATGTAACCCTTAAACAGGCCTTTTCCCATATGTTTTTAAATCTTGTAAGCATTTTGTGGAACTTTTTCAGGGAAAGGACAACAATGATGCCAGAATTAAAAGAGAACCAAAAATTCTGACAAGGAGTCACAAAGCACCAATTCCAAAGATGGATCACAAGGTTAGATATTATTTTAATGCTCATGGTATTTGCTTAGAGTTGGGTTTAAGACCATAGACAAATTCTAGCTTAAGTAGTATCATTTGGTTTTAGTAGTAGTTGTGTTTTGGTTGTTTAATTACATTTAAATAATATGAAAGCATTGTGATTTGCAATTTCAGATTTCACCATGGCAGTCCACAGACCTAAAGCATGCTCAAAGGAAACAGAGGTATGACATCTCTATCTCACTTATGGTTGAATTATATAATACAACACACTGAGGTTTCATCTTAAGTACACCCTCCCACAGTTTCAAATATACACTTTTTCCCTCTAATATTGTAACCCCTGGCATTTCCATTTTAGTGGTAAGCATGAACTTCAGTCTATGGAATTTGCAAAACCGAGTCTATTTTTCTCTGTACATTGTTCTTATATTGCATTTGGTGCATGGTGCCACTGTCCCCTTAACAGTTTTTCTGTGAGAAATTTGTTTCACAGTTTAAAAATATTGGTTGTATGGCAGTCATTCTATCAAATCATGTTCTTGGATTTTCATTTGGACTAATAATACAAAGTTATACAGGGAGAGGAAGCCAGTCTGGAGATGAAAGCAAAACAGATGATAAAGATGGAATCTATCTTCAGCAAATATGCTGAAACGGTCAAAGAGCAGCCATGCAGAATGCTCACGGACATCGGAAAGTTGGCATTTGGCGGCCATTCCAACAGGTGCACAACATAGGATCCAACATCCAAGAGTTTAAGCGGTTGAAACACAGATTATGCTCTCTTTGAATTGTGAATACTGAGAACCAGTGTAAACAAGACATCACTATGTTACAGAAACTAGTTTAGGAATGCAAAATTATGTTCATTTTCAATCCCTTTACAAGACCAATTCGTCAAGCAAATTCTGGGTTAAAATAAACAGGGAACCTGTTTAACCATTCTACAATATTCTTACCCCCCCACCCCCCTCCCCCCCCAAAAAAGAAGAGGAGTCAGATCGTATAACGGGCCATACCCTTAGCATGCATAACATTTCATGTTGGGCCAAATACTTTTACAGTAGAACACAGCCCAAAATGAACTAGTCTGAGTAGGGGTGAGCATCATACCTGTACTTTTTTTTTTTTTAGTTTTCCGCCCGGTATCCAGGGTTTCGCCCCGATTAATCTGGACTTGACCCGCGTCACGCACCTGGAAATGATGGGTGAGTCTCCCAGTAAGGGCTGCTGCGTACACAAGGGCTCGAACTCGAGATCTTGCTTAAGCTGGAATAAATCGCTTACCACTTGATCCAACCCCTCGTTGGTAAAAAAGAAATCATACCTGTACTTTACCTGATAAGTAACAGGCACAAGATTTTAATACTCAATATTTATCTGAGTATTAAAAATTTATATATATTATTTAATTTATTGAGTACAGATATATCTATAAGTAGATTTATATATTTATTAAATTTTATGTTAAAAATACATAAATTAATATATATATAATATAAGTTTATATATAAAACAAACTATATGAATATATATACTCAAGTATACCCAAATTTATATAAACAATAACAAAAGAAATATAAACAAAATCCAAATAATTTTCCTTTAGTTGAATCTTCATTATTGAAAGAAAAGAAAAAATAACATAAACATTCTAATTTCATAGCATTATATTACAAATTAAACATATAAAATTACAATATAATTATTATATTATAAATTCTTTTATAGTTAAATAATTTCTATATAAATTATAAATTAAAATGATATTCTTATAATTAATTAATGAAACATTATAGATATATAATCACGTATATGAGTTGGGTATATAAATCAATTATATAAATCATGTATATATATTAGGTATACGAATCAAATATATAAATCTAATATATATGTATCGTATGTAAATATTGACTTTCATACTTTATATTTACCTGATAATTAATATGTATTTATTTTTTATTCTTGATATTTAATTGTATCTTTACAAATATAAATAAAATACTTATTTAAATAAGTACCTTTGCACCAAAAAAATAAGTAAAGTTACTATGTTCAAAAAAATAAAAGAGTAAAGTTACTAAAGTACCTACGGATATCGATATATCCGTACCGCTGCTCAGCTCCAAGTATGAGCAAATAATAGGGCCGCCGAGCGGAATCTGTCCAATGGTTGTCTCAAGTCTTAATGTTTGGGTGAGATAGTGTTTGAAATTTTGAGATTTACTGCCCGTGGTGAACTTTACTAAATTACAATTTAATAACTACGCACCTTATTTAAAGTTGTGAAACTATCTGATTTGAAAATTAATTGTTAATAATTAATTCATTAACTTTTTAATCATTATATTAAAAAAAAAAAAATAATAATAATAATAGTAGTAGGGTCGCCAACCCAATTTGGGGGAAACTAGAATTACTAGCAGAGTGACATACGAGATATATTTCTTGGTTATCTGAGTGCCACGTAACGTATTCAATGTTAGGTTTACAGTCAATCACTAAAAACAAACCACGTGGAGCGTTATAGGTGGTTGGTGGGCAGCGGCACACCACGCGTTCCTTTCTCTTTCTGGAATATTCTCAGAAGTCAGAACCATCTTCAAAATCCTCAAAAACCCTACGCATCTCATTCCCAACAACGACGAAAGCACAAACAACAGAACCGTAGGCAATCAAGCACAGAAAAAGCAAAGCTAGAAAACGAACATGGCGTCTTTCGATCAAGCTCCTCCCGGCGATGCCAAGGTCGGAGAGAAGATTTTCAAGACCAAATGTGCCCAGTGCCACACCGTCGAGAAGGGTGCCGGTCACAAACAAGGTACCTTCTCCTCTTTCTTCTTTCTGTCTTTGTTTTTTTTTTGCTATATATCTTTGTTAATGATTTTTATTGTTGCTTACGAATTCTGGTTTGTTTCTGAGTCTCGGTGATCTGATTCAATTGCGTGTTGTTTAGATCTGTTGATTTTATTTTTGCTTTTTAATTTTATGAAATGTTGAACGATCTTTACTGATACGCGTTATTCAATCTTAGGATCTCTTCTGACCATTTATAGACTGAGTTGATTGAATCATGGGGAAGCATGTTTGTACACTTCATTGCAATTGAAAAAGATAAATCGTTTTGCCATTTGAGGAAAATTCTCCTCTTTTATAATGGGCAGAATTATTTTTTTTCTTGTTCATGAATTTAATGTCTTGGGTGAGCTATATTTATGATTGTAGTTTGAAGCGTATGTTTGATTAAAATCCCAGATCATAGTTTGGGAAATTTTACCATTATTTTCAATTTTCAGGACCCAATCTGAATGGCCTTTTAGGAAGGCAGTCGGGCACAACTCCTGGCTACTCTTACTCTGCTGCAAACAAGAATATGGCTGTCATTTGGGAAGAGAAAACATTGTATGATTACCTGCTGAACCCCAAGAAGGTACTTGTCAACTCAGCCCCTTGAATTTCATCTTTAGTGTATTCTAGAGGTTATATAGAATTATAGATCCCTTGCTCTGTATAGGCTGAAATTTTGCAGGAATGTGCCTAAGTCTTGTGCTTGTGAATTTCACTAAAGCAATGAATAGAACAGAAAGGTTTTAAGTCCTGATTCTTGTCCTGCCTGTTAATGTTATATGAAAGAGTAATTCTTGTCTTTTAACTAGCATAGAAACGCAATTTAGATTTCAGGGTCATGTATTAGACTTTTCAGTATATATGACAGCAGCTTAACTTTAAATTTTTTACTTGAGCTCTCTTGGAGAATAAAAGAGTTATATTATGCTCAGAATTTTAAAGGAAACTAGAGGTAGATGAATATTTGTGGAACTGACAAGACATTGTTGATGTTTAGGATTTTCATGTGATTACAGTACGCCATATTATTTCTCTAGTTGTATGGAAACTAGAGAAATAATGTGCCTGTTCTTGCTTCACAGCTTGCTTGTGTGTGTTAATGTGTTTTAGTCTGTGATTTACTGGTTGCCAGCAAGTTTGTCTTTTCATTTTCTTATGATGGTCTTATCAAATCCTTCGGTGCAGTACATCCCTGGAACAAAGATGGTATTCCCTGGACTGAAGAAGCCACAGGAGCGTGCTGATCTCATTGCATATTTGAAAGAAGCCACTGCATAAGGGCCTTTGCACACACCCCTTTTCAATTTTTCAGTAATTGGCGATTGTTTTTCACAGGCGGATTAAATAAATTAGACCATGTAGGTCAGTGATGTTCTTTGTAACATGAGCATTACTATAGTCACATTTATTCTGAAATGAGGTTGTCGTCAAATGGCAAACATAAGCTTTATTCAATCAGCTTGGTGGCACTATATTTTATGAATTTCTGGTGAATTACCAGATTGCAAATTATAGTTCTAATCTCTCTTATTTATTATTTTTCTTTTTTAATATATATTTTAAAAGAATAACACCGTCCCATCACTTTCAAAGAAGAAACAGTCTACCCCCACATGTTTCACGGTAAATGATCAGAAACATAACAGAGAATGAACTAATGAAGAAACAACAGCATCATAACAACCATACAAACCCGGTGAAAACACCTAAATGCAAACGAAAAACAACTGGCGCCTGCGTTCCTTTCATATATAGAAAAGTTACGAAATTTAAATTGGAATTAATGTCATGAGCAATGCTATTTTAAATATTTTAAATATTAAAAGGTGTATTTTTCTACTAATATATCGATATTCAAAAATTATATTAAATTTTAATTAATTTAAAATTAAATTGTGTTAGATTCTAGAAAACAGACTTCCAGTTTCATCCAGCACCACGTTGGCTCATCCCCAGTCCCGATTGCTTGCTGCGCATGGCAGCCGTATGCAGCTAAATTATTTTTTGCTATATAATTCGGGGATGCCCCATCTTCTTTTAGGTTAAAAGAATCCTAAAATTTTTAAGAGAAAACAAAAACCCAAAATTGTTCTTATATATACAGTTGATCTGATTATGAGTTAAAACAACCCTTCACATTCCTCAACCCCTTTTTATTTGACTTAACACTTGAACTTGAAGTCTCGAACTCTCAACCATTGAACAATCTCATCGAGATTATTAAAGTTATATATATAGTTGATTTGTGAATGGAAGTAGCACTTCATGCATTTAAAAAACTAAAAATACATTAAAAAAATTTTTATATACTAAAACAGACAAAAAAAAAGGTAAACCCCAAGAGAGGAAACAATGCTGAACAGGGAAGATCGATGGGTGGCAAGATGTTGGAAGATATGGAACGGCAGCAACACCATTCAATTTAAATGAAGCATTAAGGTAGTGGCGTAACAGTCAGTCAGAAATTCTAGAAAAACATCTATTTTCACAAACAGGCACACATAGGACCCTAGAAAGTGCGAGTAGAAAATACTAAGTTCCCCTAGCCTAGTACCACCATACTGGTTCCGTTACTCAACGTCAATAGTCAGACACATTGACTGCACCAAAATTTCATCGAGGAGCAGTATACATCTGGGATGAATCATACTGAGGATATCCGGGCTGTGGAGACACGGTTTTCCCATATGGAACTGGTGCACCACCTGCTGTAGCTGTAGCTGCATAACTGCCTGATTGTGGGGCATTCTGATCGTAGCCAGGTTGATTTGTTGCTGGTTGAGCATACCCTGGTTGGCCACTTGGTGCACTGTATGTTGACCCAGCACCACCACCATAACTAGGATCTTGGGGACCTTGATAACCGTAACCCGCTGCAGCTGGCTGCTCAGCATAACCCTGTTGTGAAGAGGGGTATTGTCCATACCCACCAGCACCTGCTTGTGCATAACTGGGTGCAGTTTGCCCAGCAGGCTGACCATAACCAGGAACAGGTTGGCTACCTTGCTGTGGATAAACAGGAGCGGTTGCCGTTGGAGCCTGACCATATCCATCATTGGTTGGGGCAGAGCCATATTGAGGATAACTTTGTTGCATAGAGCCACCTGATGCATATGGGTATTGCTGTTGAGGTGGCACATTTGAACCATATTGGGATGCAGTAGGACCTGGATAGGCCATATCTCCTGGCTGACTAGTAGGAGGACCATAAGTTTGCAGATGGTGTCCTTGTGATGGCATGCCATATGATGGTGGCTTACCATAGGGCTGTTGTGGGGCAAACCCTGGTTGAGTACCAGACTGTGTATAACCTGGCTGAGAAGCACCATGCCCTCCATAAAAATGCTGCCCTGTGGCATGATTATCATATTTATGTTCTTCATATCCATGACCATAGCTGTGCTGAGGAGCAGTGTGTGGGTAAGGTGGATGGGCATAATCTGGACCATGAGGCTGTCCATAATTGTAATTTGACTGAGGAGGCGGTCCCATGGCAGAAGCAGGTGAAGGCCCAGGACCATGGCCAGGAATTGAACTAGACAGAGGGCCAGAAGCACCTTGTCTGCCATAGTAATCATAACCACCCCCCTGTGGAGATGGTCCTTGCATGCTGTGAGGCCTTTGGTCCCAACTAGAACCAAAGTTACCTCTTGGAGCCATTTGTTGAGGATAACCACCATAGTTTGGAGCTTGATAATGAGCATTTTGAGAAGGATATGGTCCCCGACGCTGATAATCGTATGGCATTGATTGGGCAGGATGGCTGCGTGGACCCCATTGAGATGGACCCATAGGTCCACGGGGTCGATAGCTATGATGATGGACTCCACCAGAATGAGATGATGGCCTCACGGTCTATTCAAAGGAGGGAAAAAAAGTAAGTGAGCGGAACCAATTTCATTCACAAAATATGTTATGGAATTGTGACTTAAATTTAAAGACCAAGTTTGTTTGTTCTCTACAACAAACACTGAAGGGTTACTTGGACATCATCCGTTAAGCAGAAACAAAGCTCAATTACATATACCAATGCAGGTTGATAAACTGTGTTAAATCAACATTGTAAAATGAAATAAAAGGTAAGAACAATCTGTTACTGTAATCCAAAAAGCTAGTCAACTCAACCTGGTGCCAGAATATAGCTAATTGAAACTAAAAGAAACATGCCATCATCACAAAAGATGCAAAATATATGGCCAATTTAACATATAATTATATAATAGACTTTAACCTTCTTCTGAAACTGAAACTCTAAGCACATGATCTTACCATCATATGACTCTACTAAGGCCAGAAGGAGAATACTGACTAACGAAAAAGCTATGATAAAATCTAATTAAGTCGCAAGCATGTGTTCGTTCTGCATGGGAAGAATAATGCATCTGCTCAAACACCAAATACTAACAATCTAAGACAAGAATATTAATATCCGATGGAGTTCTAGAATATTCACCACAAGAATAAACCAATAGCTTCCAGATATCTTCATAACAAATTTTTTGCAAGAAATCAATCACCTAGGTGATGTAGCATGATGCAAATTTAACAACATATTCTTGCTCAGAGATTAAATGGCAACGTACTTGTAACATTTGTGCTAGCATCTCTATGCATATCAGAGGTCATGTGCCATTTTCTTAATGCATTTCACCATAGCATCAAACATGATTTCAAGACAATACTCATCTAAGATACATTTCAGACAAGATTATTTCAAAAGGGGTGCTTCCTCCAACACGTCTCATGCATAGAACATCGTGGACCTTATCATATAGCCTCACTAAATTAGGATTTTTTAATTTTCAAGTCTCATAGCAATCTTACCAACTCTTAACATCCTGCAATTGCGAGATTTAATGCCAGATACCTCTCTTCAGTGGGTGAAGGAGAATAGTGGTTGTCTATTGCTACACCAAGAAAGCAATGCTGACCCCATTGGAAGGGCAATAGCCAAATCTGCAGATTTTAAAGCCAACCAATTCGAAATTGGCACCTTCAACATAAATAAAGCATGGCAACCGACATCTTCGACTGAACAAACTATCTTCCCAGTATTATTAAGTACCCTTGAAATGTATAATTCATATTTTTAAGTTTAAGGCTCTCACTACAATGTTTCAACTATATAAGTCTCCCTTAAATTGGATGGCAAATGCAGATGCAATTCATAGAAGTAACCATAAGAACGAATGACTTCAATTTATTGTTTGCTTTGAGAAAGCCCCTTGAAGGAGACAGCTCTGAACTAACCCAAATAAACATAAATTTGAATTTGGGGGCTTCAAACATCAATCATATCAAGGTAGGACAAAATTTTATTCACTCAGTAAAAGGTTAACATCACAAAGGTCTGCCCATGCAAACATACAATCCACAAAATCAACGTCCTAAATTTGAGTATCTATTGATGCAATAACTCTACCATGCCAACTACTGAACATAACCATTTATGATGTTACAATTATTAAACTTTACAGAAATAGAATAGCTATTGAAAAATTGGCTGCATGTGGCACATAATGTGAAGAGCATATTAATAATTAAGTTGTTTGACATTCACAACATGAAATAGTAATCTTATGTTGCTTAACCACAGAATACTGAAATCTACAGTAAAGCAAACAAATGGAGGAGTTCATCCAACATAAGTGAGTATATATATGGAGCTGATGGTTAATGGCATAGTCTTGGAATGTTTCAACATAAATTCTTAGATATCACAGAAGTACCCAGCACAAAAAAATAGAACAACAAAGGAAAAACATAATTGCAGCAAATTTACAGCAATCCAAAACACATGAATTTTTTGTTGATGTGTACAGTTCCATAACAAACTGGAGTCTACTGTTCATTTAGCAGATATTATGAACAAAATTATAAAGAAGGACATCAACCCTGCCATTTTTTGAGAAGAAGAAAGAGTAGAAACAAATCATATTGGTTTTAATCACAAAAACATGTCATTTAAGATTTAGCAGAAGAATAACACACCTGATTCATAACCTCCTTTATCATTTCCTTAGCCATCTCAATCTGCTTCTTATCACCAGTAACTCGGACAATCTTCTCAGTAGACTGTTCCCCTTCCGAATTTATCAACTATATAGGCACGAAATAGTTAGAATTTTCAGGAAAAACATCTCTCTACAATAAGACGTTAAAACAGAGCTAGGCAACAATATCATGTACCTGGATGCGTGCACCTGATCTGGTCTGAAGTCCTTTAATTGTATCCCCACCTCTTCCAATGATCAAACCAACCTGCATCATGAAAGGTTACAGTTATTTTCAAGTTGGCAGCATGCAGGACTGTACACAATAACTGTTTGCATACTTGCTCGGACAATTATTCAACAAAAAAAACAGGAATAACCTTCTCATTTGGAACTTGTATCTCAATGAGATCTACAGCTCCAGTTGCCTGTGTGATAGCAAGTCCTCTAGCTACAAGGGAAGGGGAGCCTCCTGCATCGGCCTGCAACAAAGATTGGCAATTGAAAAAAAAGGCATTTTCAACAAATGGGAGTAGGAGAAGAGACATTTAACAGACAAATACAAGAAGCAGCACAATACCTCAGCTATGACAGCATTTATGAGCTTCTCAGCCTTGGCAATACTGCTCAAAGTGCCCACTAGTTCCACAGGTCTTGTTGGAGCATCCCTATCAGCATCAGCATCCCTCATGATTTGAATTTTTGCACCTGAATTGTACTGCAGGGACCTTATGGTCTCTCCAGCTTTGCCAATAAGAACCCCAACCTGAACCATGATTCAGAGAACGTATATCAAAACCCTAAGCAAATTTCAAAAGAGAATTTTTTTACAGTTGCAAAACTAGTTTCACATATGTAAAACTTTCCTCTCTTATTTATCATCAAAATCTGGTTCCAATTGTCAGTTAAGGCTCCAAATGCCAGTGTAGAATAAACTTGTTATTTCAAATCACACATGTCAGTTGGCAATTTCAAAAGATATCATACCTTAGCATTTGGAACTTCAATTTTGCGAGAAATAGTTGAACCATCATCCATCTCCAGCTGAGCACCCTCATCAAGTGGTTGTGTATTTTCGTCTATAGGAGGATCTTGCGCAATATCTGCTTCGAAATTCTCGACTTTAACTTGCTCATCAACGCCCATCTCATGATTATCTGCAGAAGACTGCTCCAATTGCTCTCCTGTTCCTTCAATTTGCTCAGTTTTCACTGTTTCTTCAGCTTCCTCAGATGGATTTTCACCGTTCTCTGCTTGCTCGTTTGCTTCATTAGGAATGACTGCCTCCTCCTTCTCCTCCTCCTCCTTAATCGGTTCTTCCAACTTCTCCCCTTGGAAGCCATTTTCACCAGCTACTGTGTTAAAAACAAAGCGCTTTAATTTACTCCGAATCTTCAATAAAAACCATAACAAACCAAAACCCTAATATACGACAAAGGAAAATAGATCCTACCTAACTCATCGGGCTCGTTATCATCGAGCCTCAGACGCTTCGCCTCCAACGAATCGGACACTGCCACGCCATTTTCCGCATCCGCCTCCTCTTTCGACTCAGCCAGCTGTTCGGTAGGATCACAGTCAAGCTTCCGTTTGTGATCGGAAGGAACAGGACTCGCCGCCGGCGCAACAACCTCTTCTTCAGCCATGAGTGAGCTAGGTAAGGGGAGGAAACAAATCTAGTCTAGGGTTTTGAAGGGAGAAAAAATGCTGGAAGTGGATTACAGTACTAAGTTTTTGTGGGACAGAAGATGAGGACAAGAGATATTTGTGGTCGTGTTTCTATATACGTATGATGTGTATAGGGTTTAAGGACTTATATTATAGGTTTAATATTCAATTTTACCCCCCAACTTTATGATGGGGGTAAACTTGGTCACTAACCTTATAAAATCTTTCCAATAAAGTTGTTTTTGTTTCCCAATTCAATTAACTCAGAGGAAAAACATCAAATATCACTAATTTAATCTTGAAGGTTTATGTAAGGGAAATAGTTTGGTGTATTGTAATTATATATGATGTGAGCCAACAAGTCAAAAAATTTTAGTATACAAGTAGATGATATGGTGTCCAACCTTTTTATTATTATCATTAAACATAATATTGAACTTCATTTCAATGACACAATGATTCAAAAACTCCATAAATAACAAGCACATCAACTATTGATGAGGGTTTGAATTTGAATTTGTTATCAACTAAATAACTAGTGAAATTAGCATCATTATATCATTTAAATTGTTACATGAACTTTTCGAAATAGGAAAACACTAATACATTTTGTTCAATAAAGAGCACTTTTATACAAAATGTAAAGCACAATTTCATAATCCTTCTATGCTCAACATATAAAGACCTTTAAGCATCTTATCAAGACTCCGAGAGTTAAAATAAAGATTTTTTCTTCTTAGTGCTTTATATTATAGATGCGAGGGGATTTTATTTGCAAAGCTTTAAAATGTTAAGAACTCAACTCTTTACTATTTCAATAGTCATTAGGCCTCTTTCTAGCGTCTCATCTCATCAAGAACTCAACGCTTAAATTTTACAAAGGTTGAGGACCAAAAACAATATTTACAATGCATAATTTTCTGGCTTGGGCTCAGTAGTAGTATCTTAGCGCCATGATGTGTTTTGATGAATGTCCAATAATGGGCTTGTGATTGGGCTACCGATATCAATATTGAAAAATATTCAATCACAATCGGCTCATATATTGGATAACAATATAAGGCCCAAAAAAATATTTTGTAGGCCTTCTTATCAAAAGTTGAAATGGGTCTGCATCTGGGCTTCTCGATTTTCTCAGCTGGCTTCGGACTTCGGAGAATTCAAACTTCAAAAAACCATTGTCCGAGAAAGCTAAAGAGAGGACTTCTTCTTCTTTCTTTCTTTCTTTCTTTCTTTCTTTCTTTCTTTCTTTTTTTTTTTTTTTTAATAATGGTTAGAAAGTTAGTATAAATTAGTTGTTAGTAATTAGGAATTCGATATTCTCAAATTAGGTGAATATTCTATCCCTTTAAATGAGGCACGTGATCATTAAACTGCTTTTGATGGAATTCACGATAGAATTCGAAACTCCGACCACCTCTCTCAAACACTTAAAACTTTTGGGATTGAAGCTTTAGGTCTAAAGGCCGGTTCTAATAATCCCATTTTCGTTGATTTCTACTTTATGTCCTTATTATAGACAACTTAAAAGCATGTTTATTGTATTTATTTATATTAATTAATATGAAAGAAATAAAAATTAATATTAACTTTAATAATTATTTAATTAAATTCATTTGAATAGTAATTGTGTTAAAATTAATTGTTAATTTTTTCTATCTTTTTACAAATTAATACAAAAATTATATAATTTTTTACACTAATTTTTAATATCTAAAAATTACATAAAACTTTAATTAATTTAAAATTGGATCTTTTAGTACAAAAATTGTATAATAAATACATGTAAATGGTATTTAAATTAACTATTTGAGTATATTTAATATTTAATTATTATTATTTATTATTTAAAATATTTTATTCCTTTGATTAAAACCTAATTATTTGTCTAATGGCAAAACAAACACTGTTAGTGTTAAGAGCCATGACACAATTTAGAAAAACGTTTTATTTATTTATTTATTTTATTTTAAGAAAATAAGAAACATTGAAATCACAAGATGCAAAATGTCACCGGCGCCGGAACCGGCACGGAGCCGGAGTCGCCATTGTCAGGTTTCATCATTGCTCTTTTGCTACCAGTCTTCCAATCCTCCAACTATCCTTCAACTTCGTCCCCCAGTTTCAAAAAATAAAATAAAATAAAAATGGAGAAAAATAAAATAAAATAAAAAACGAGAATTCTGTTTTCTTTGTTTGTATTTGACATGACACTGCTATAAAATCAGCATCATCTTGAAATCAAACCTCACAAAAGTTTAACAGAAAACCCTGGAAAAACCCTACTGTTCCTTTTCATTTTCTCATCCTTTCATCCCTTTTAAGAATGTGTGAATGCAATAAAAGTTGACAAATTTTGCGTATTGAAGACGGAATCGAGATTGCCAGGTATCGAATTTGTTTTGAGTATGTATTTAGTTTTGCGTATTGGGACTGCCAATTTTGGCTGGAACGGAATCATATTGTGTGTGAATTGAGGAAAAGAAGCTATTTTGATACTTACCCTCGTTCATGGGGATAGCGTGGTTAAAGTTTTCTGTGTTGGTAAAGTTTTTGCTTGAACAGATGACCGATGTCAAGGAGAATCCCACTGTCGTGGGGGGAAGTGGGGTGGAGGAGACATCGCCTGATTCGCTCAAGAACACGGCATCAAACATAGCGAGATTGGAGGATGTAATAGAGCACTGCAGGGGCCGCCAGAAGTTTCTTGCGCAGACTCGTAGTCCTTCTGATGGGGGTGATGTCCGCTGGTACTTTTGCAAGGTCCCTTTGGCTGAAAATGGTGGGTTTCTACTGAATTTGAAATTTCGTGGTTACCCTTTTTATTTTGCTGAATTGGAGATATGTAAATAACTTACGTCTGAATTATAAAATGTATTACAATTTATACGATAGAGTTACATGTTTTCAGTAAGGAATTTTGGTTGCTGCTGTAGCAGAAGGTCGTGTTTTTCTGTTTGTTACTTGCTTTAAAAGTTAGTAGTGTGTAATGTCTTTGAGGAGGGAAAAAACAGAGAAGAAACAGAAAAGCATAAGAAGAATTGGGAAATTTTGTGGTTTTCAACAACCTGATCTTGGAAACTGAGGTTGGAATTTTCATTAAAGAGACAAGAAAAGCTCCAAATCTAAAATTATTTAAAAGCAATGATTATAGCCCCTTATGATGTCTCTTTTGCAGTACTTCATTGTAAAATGTTAGCCACTAATCAAACATTACCCATTTTTGTTATCCTGAAACTTTAAGCTAATTAAAATGTAAGTGGTATTTGAATTTTGGAGAGCCTCTGGATATCCCTCTGGCTATTAAAATCTACATTCAATTTTTGAATCCAATCTCATCATTCAGCATTTAGTCTGGCTTTAACATCATAGGTTTTTCCCTCTTAATAGCTTGTCCTAAATGATGAACAAACTTTTATTTCCCTTTTAATTGACAAGTAATGCTCATGTATTCTCATGCCTAAGTGGCATTGAACACTTGAATGAGATGCGGTTATGAGCAAATTAAGTGATTAATAGCTTCCGCACATTGTTTATTGCGTCCCTCTGAGCGAAGGAAGAGTAGCATATTAACATCAAGAATTTCCATACACTTCATGATCTTTTGCTGCTTCTGGTTTTCACAGAGCTAGCTGCTTCAATTCCTCGCACTGAGATAGTGGGAAAGAGTGACTATTTTCGTTTTGGAATGAGAGATTCGCTTGCAATAGAGGCTTCTTTCTTGCAGGTCATTTTTCATATTTTTTGTTGCAATTCACAATGAAGTTTCATCTGCCATGTTCATCTTGACTTGCTAGTTCTATTTGAGATTCCCAATCAAGTTCCATTATTGTTACTGGCAAGTTTTGCTGGTTCAAGTTCTTCTCATGCATGCTTGATAGACAGATAATGAACTATAGAGGACTCAATTTATTATGTCATGGGTTTGACACTCTTAAGCAGCAGATAGGATTATTTCTGCAAAAATCATCCATACAGTGATTAGCAAATCCACTGGAGTTGATGGGCTTAAGATAGTGGATATGCCAACTTCTTTTCTATTTTCCACTCGCCTCCTTCAGTAACTTGCCAGAAATAAGTACAAAATAAAAAATTATCTATTGTGCTTTGAGTCTTATATCAAAAAGAAAACAAGTCAAGAGACGCCATATTCTGTTAATTGACCCAGCATATGAGTCCTTAAGAGATGTATTTTAGATGTTAAAGCAAAAGTCATTGGTCTCCACTAATACCTGGGGATTTAGTTCTAAATTATTAAGTTTTCATGAAGACTGTGTGTATCCAGCTATAAGATGATGACCTGTTCGATATAAGCTATTATTTGTTGAATATGTATGTACAGAGAGAAGAAGAGCTGCTTTCTTGTTGGTGGAGAGAATATGCAGAATGCAGTGAAGGTCCAAGAGGAAGAGCTAGCTCCAAAAAGAAGTTGGATAGACAAATAGGTCAATCTTCTTCAGAGGGTTCTTCATCAGCCAAACTGTATGAAGTTGAAGAAGAGAGAGTTGGTGTCCCCGTAAAGGGAGGACTCTATGAGGTACCTCTTTTTCTCATTTTATTTATTTATTTATTTATTTATTTTTTGAGTTGATCTTTATGTCTGATTTTGCCACATGAGATGCTATTTGACTGTGAGGATCTTTATTCATAGACATGAGGCTTCCATGCAGACAAATCAGCTGATTCTTTTGATGTCTTAAATGTGGATAAATTGTTGAGAACATAGCACTTGATTTAAATGCTTAAGGCATTTGATGCTTTTCCTGTTCATCGGCTGGTATAATAAGTATAGGTTCTTCCATTTTTCATGGATGACTTCCACATGTAGTATTTAGCTGTGCTTTCTAGCAATGACATGACAGCAAGAGGAACTCTTTGTATTTTGTTTATTCTCTTGGAGTGTTTAGTTTTTCTGTTCTCCAGAAGCTGCTAATATCTACAGCAGCTGCTTGATGCTGGATACTGACCCCAAGTGTCTAAAATTGAAGTTTATTCGATTTACTGGTACCTCTATGTAAACATATTTTTCAATACATTTATAAGCGTATAACAGTTGGAAGTAGTTAAAATGATCAATTTCTTCAGATTAATGGTCATGTATAGATAGATGAGGAAGGGTCACCATCTAAAGATTATAGGCCCACTTAACTTTAAAGAAAGTTCTGGGATTACCTATGTTTTATTTCATTGTCATTTTCAGGTGGCAGGACATCAGATTATGACTCATTCTATTTATTTTTGAATTTTAGCAAATATTATGTGATGTTATGAACACTTTTTATTCACAATGTTTCATCTGTTAACCCAGACATACATGGCCAACAGGGAAAAAAAATAGGCACACTTTTTAAAACTGATATGATTTAAGTATTGCAGGTAGATTTAGTTAAAAGACACTGTTTCCCTGTTTATTGGAATGGAGAAAATCGGCGAGTTCTAAGAGGTCACTGGTTTGCTCGTAAAGGAGGTCTCGATTGGCTTCCACTTCGTGAAGATGTAGCTGAACAGTTAGAGATAGCATATCGTAGCCAGGTTTGCTACTATCTGCTTCTCATTTTATTTTTATTAACTTTGTTTTTTCATTTTCTAAGAGCATGGATGATTTTTGTGGATATTAGGAATGATCATTCTTCAGTTCTTGTAATGAGGAGAGGTTCTGGAAAAGAAAGAAAGCACCATTGCTTATGCTATTTCCAGAGTCTATTGCCTTCCTTTTCCTCATGCTATTCCTCTCTCTTTCCTTGATTCCATTTTTGAAGTAGATCATGTTCCAGAAGGTACTGGATTTCCTTCAAAAATTTTAGTTGCCTTTTTAGTGGCATAAACTAGCTTAGTGAAACACCTAGATTCTACATGGATGCCAGAACTTTATTACTTCACCTCAAATTCATTGTAGTTTGAATTTTTTTTCCTGTGTTTTGTTTAAAATATTTTACTTAAGTTCTTTCATTCTTTTAAATTCTTAGGCATGAGAATGCATTTATTTCATTTTTGTTAATGCGATTGCAACAGATGAAGTTTGACTGTTAATTAGGTCTGGCATCGGAGAACGTTTCAACCATCTGGACTTTTTGCTGCCCGAGTTGATTTGCAAGGCTCCTCTCCAGTATGTTTATAGTTTCTTGGATGGGGATATTTGATTCTCTTGATTTTTAACACAGTATGCATAAGCACAGGAATTACTTCAATTGGTGTAGGGACTTCATGCACTTTTTACAGGAGAAGATGATACTTGGGAGGCTTGGCTTTATGTTGATGCTTCTGGTTTTTCAAGTGTTATCAGTTTCGGTGGAAATGGAATTAAGTTAAGGCGTGGCTACTCTGCATCTCATTCCCCCAAACCAACACAGGTTTCAGTCATTTTCCTCATGTAGTAGAAATACTGATATCCTTTAACAGTTGAACTTTTGAACCTGAAATGGTATTCTTTCAGTGGTTACAAGTTCTTCTGCTATTGAATTAGCTCTTTTATATTGGCTATTTGAATTTTAGGATGAATTACGTCAGCAGAAGGAGGAAGAAATGGATGATTATTGCTCTCAGGTATGATCAAAAGCATTTTACTCCTAATGTATGTTCACTTTGTGTTTCTCCTATCATTTATGCATAATGTTTATGAGGTGTTTAGTTTTCAAAAGAAACATTATCATCTTCAAATTTTATAATATTTCCCACAATACCAAAATGCTGTTCACATAACGGTTACATGAGTTAGGTTTCAGTTAAGGAAGTAGAGGCATTGTCTTGGTTTGTGTTATTTTATCGGTGGTTGTAGACCAGAAAGGGTGAAAACATAGAGCCTGTATGTTGCATGCAGGTGATTCACAAGACTTGCAATTCTGAATCATTAGTACTTTGTCCAATCCATATGAGCTATTTACAGAAACAGAAAATTCATGGCTTTTCTATCTTTTTAGTCATCCTGCTTCCCATCCAA